TTGAAAAGGATAAGGCTGAAGTGGTTCTGGAAGCATACCCCCGGGAGTCTGTGTCAAAAAGCAACGGATCTTGCGTAGGCGTTATACGGATAGAACTTCCTCCTTATCAATGGAATACAATGAAAATGAAGATTGTTTACCCCTGTATATATATCTTTGCTATAAATATTTGAACTAGTCGAATTAAGGAATGTAACTAGTCAGGACATTTCTTTTTCATGGAAATAGTGACAGTAGAGATTATCATGTCAATCTGGCTTACTTCCCTACCTGTGATCTAAATGCTAACATCGTTACCAATTTTTCCATGGAAATAGCGATAGTAAAGGTAAACATTGAGTCTGTCTTACTTCTCAAGCTGTGATCTAAATTCTCATATCGTTACCATTTTTATGGAAATAACGACAGTAGAGATTATCATGTCAATATGGCTTACTTCTCAACCTGTGATCTAAATGCTTACCAATTTTCCCATAGAATTAACGATAGTAGAGATTGATATATCAAATTTAATTCCTTCCCAAGCTGTGATCTAAATACTAACATCGTTACCATTTTTTATAGAAATAGCGATAGTAGAGATTATCATGTCAATATGGCTTACTTCTCAAACTGTGATCTAAATGCTAATATCGTTATCATTTTTTTCCTAGAATTAACGATAATAGAGATTAACATGTCAAACTGATTTCCTTCCCAAGCTGTGATCTAAATGCTAACATCGTTACCAATTTAAGGACAGAAAATGGCTTTATTTGAATAACTAAGCAATCAACAAAACAATCGTTAAGACTAGTTGGAAAATGAATAGGGAAACATTCATTTTTAAAAAATGATTTTTAAAGCTGCATATGCAGATTTATGCATTCTTTTATGCAGAAACCACGATGTTGGCCTAAATATAAGGCATCTAATTTATGCTTTTTAAATCGGTATCACCCCAATGTAAGGTAGTAAAGTCACTAAGACGTAAGGGGTTAAAATGTGTGAAAGAATTAGGAACAGAAGCATTAAAAATATCCTCATCTTATTACCATATTCAAGACGTTTCGGCCGTAGTACACACAACCTTCTTCAGGTGATTGAAATTTCGAACCGAACCCTTTAGTTCGTCCACGAGAGTAGATTGTTCTAGTTCCACGTGCCTTGACTCTTCTGAATATCTCAGTTTCAGTTATTTCCCTTTAACTCGGTTCTCCAAGTTTTTTTTTGTTTTTTTGTTTGTTCATCTCTGCTGTGGTCAGGTATTGAACTCACAACTCTTTTGGTCAAGTAACTGGATTCCTTCAACCAACGCTTGGTGAGTCCAATACATGGACATAGCAGAGGTGAACAAAAAATATTGGAGATTTGATTTACTAAAGGGAAATAACTCAAACTGAGATATTCAAAAGAGGCATGTCATGTGGTACTAGAACAATCTACCTCGATGAGCGAAATAAAGGGAAATTCCAATTACCTGAAGAAGGTTGGATCGTACAACGGACGAAACGTTGTGAATACTTAAATAAAAATGAGGACAACAGTTCGAACATTGTAAATAGTGTAAATAATTACAATAATTCATCTCAGAAATATCGACAGATCCTGAAGAAGACCCGAGCGTATAACGACCGAAACGTTGTGAATATGACAATAAAGATGTGGGCAACAGTCCGAATAATACAAATGGTGTAAGTAATTACAATAATTCATCTCAGCAATATCGACAGATCCAGAAGAAGACCGTAGCGTATAAAGACCGAAACCACGTGAACATGACAATAACGATGAGGGAAACAGTCAGAACATTGCAAATGATGTAAGTAATTACAATAATTCATCTCAGAAATATCGACAGATCCTGAAGACCCGAGCGTATAACGACCGAAACGTCGTGAATATGACAATAAAGATGTGGGCAACAGTCCGAACATTGCAAATAGTGTAAGTAATTACAATAATTTAACTCGGAAATATCGACAGATCCTGAAGAAGACCTGATCGTATAATGACCGAAACGTCGTGAATATGACAATAATGATGAGGGAAACAGTCCGAACATTGCAAATAGTGTAACTAAGTACAATAATTTATCTCGGAAATATGGACAGATCCTGAAGAATAGCTGAGCGTATAATGACCGAAACGTCGTGAATATGACAATAATGATGAGGGCAACAATCGGAACATTGCAAATAGTGTAAGTAATTAGAACATCTCAGACAGATATTTATTTTGTTTTTTATTTTTTTGTTTTTTTTGAGTAGCGTTTCTAAAGACAAGAGAAGAAATCGAGTTCTCAATAACGTGTCTCAATTTCTCACGAAACATCGACCATTGACTTTATTCGCCAAAAATCTGTCCTTTTTTAGCTTTCTTCTCCGCCATTAATGCCGTTCCGTGACAGAAACGACTATGTCCGCTTTCATATATTTCAGAATGTGCGTCTGGAATCCTGCGCATGCGCTGGTAGCTTTTGACTTACTCCGTTTTGGAGAAGCAGATGAGGCTGGAGCACAATGAATAAGAAGACAGCAATATTGGTGGCATGTGGCGTTGTTCTTAAAGCATTTCAGGCAGATTCTACAAAATTCTGTCTGGTTATTTTTCAGAAAACGTTAATAGTAGTCGAACGTTAAGTCCTTTGTCTAATCAGCCATCAGGCAACATGCGCTTGGCGCTGTGTGTTGGCTAAGCTGCGTTTTAAAAAGGTAGAACATAATCAAATTTCAGTGCACTGTATTAAGAGAACTGGACAAATATAGTCACATACAAGATTACTTCTTTTATCTCTGGGGGTCATCCTGAGTTTTTAACGTAGGCAAGATCACTAATTCCCAGAACAAATCCCGACAGCTTTCTACACTGACTAACTTAGAAAATAAAATATCGATTTGAAATCAAAACTTGTTTTTTGTTCTTATAACTTAGAACACGTAAGTTAAAATAATTTGGCTAAATAATATTTTTTCTAAGTAGAGGTAGATAGTACGCCTATCGACCGGTTCAAACTCCTCCCAAGTCTTATGAACAGGAGTAGAGGTTTATTCCCGGTTTCCTGTTTAGGATTGGGTTTCCGGTTCTGCGTAAAGGCTGATTCAGCACGATGCTTCCAACGTCTCCTTCTAAACTCTGAAATTTTATTCACTATTTATTTAATATTTTTCTCTTCAATAGGAGTAGATAGGTTCGCCTGTCGCCCGGTTCAAACTCCTCATCGATCTTTTAAACAGCAGTAGAAATTTATCCCATGTTCCCTGTTTAGGATTAGGTTTCCGGTTCCTTCTACAGGTCCGCCTACGAAATTCTGGAGTCGAGGTGCTGAAGATAACATAAATAATCTAAGTGACAAACTTTTAATCTCATTAATCATATATATATATATATATATATATATATATATATATATATATATATTGAACAAAAAATATTAAAAAATGAAAATCTTCAGACACACTGAGTTGTAGATTAATATTCTTTCGTTTTTTATTATTATTTCATTAGATTCATCGACTAGTTTCGGCCAAAATGGCCATCATCAGGAGAAGAAATATTTCTGCTTGCTGGTAGCAGTAAACTACAGAAATGAATGTCTTGCTGGAGAAAATGAACTTTTGTCTGTAGTTGTCATTTGTTTTTTTTTTATTTTTCTATCTTTGTAACATGAATCTTTTAACATTCCTTGTGTTGGTCAAACAGTCTCTTTTAAGTTGTTATTTGAGATAAGAGCTGGATGGATCTATGCTGCTCTGAATTCCCCTGGTCAGTGAGACAGTTTTATTAATCCTGGAGAGGGGATGTGTCTCTGTTTAGTGTTTGTGTGTGTGTTATTTGGTTCTTAGGGAGTGGGTGAGTATGATATGTGTAAGCGTGTGTATTGCTGTGGGTGTATGTTATCATTTGGCTCATTAGTGAGTGAGTGAGTATGATGTGTGTAAGTGTGTATGTTCGTGTGGGTGGGTGTGTATGTGTGTGTATAAGTGTGAGGCCTCAACACCTCCGTAAGCATGTCTGTCTTGTGTGGGTGAGAAATGTGAGTAGGTTTGATATATATATATATATATATATATATATATATATATATATTTGATTATATATATATATATATATATATATATATATATATATACGATGCAATGAGAACGAAAATAATATATAAATTCTAACGTGCACAGCATTAATCCAAAAGAGGCTCGGTACTTATAGTAGAGCGATAATTATTTATTATAATTTTTTGATATAGACAAAAACATTTACTCACTACAAAGATAGAACTTCGTTTCGGTGCATTTCAATTGCACCTCGACTGCTGAGAATCAAAATTAAAATAAAATATTACAATCTAGCTAACTTCTTAAATCCAAAACTCTGAACTCTAACTCACCTCCTTCCATATGCTTCCTACCCTCTTATATACCTGTCCACAAATTTATCCTAGATTATGATTCTTAATTATTTTTGGTTTGTACATATATTATACTAGTAATACTTTCAGATAAATTGTTTTACGCCCATACTTATTCTACACGTTATACTGTTCGACAATATATCAAAATTAGATTATAAAAAAATATATTAATATGACATACTTTTTATATACTCTTCTACTTATATTTTAATTTCTAAATCAAAACTGATTTTTTTTTCAAACCCGAAAAACTTATATATTCAACAAGAAAAAAAAATCACCACCTCTAAATTTCTTAATTTGCAAAACACTTTCATTGATTTAGCTTGGTTTTGTATTATAATAACAAAAAACAGCATTCCCAATTACTACTACAGATATCCTTTGAATTTATCCCTCCTACCCCTTTTATCGTATTACTATCTCCCCCTTCCTCCTTTCCTCCTCCGCACTTCACTCTAAGAAGGGTTAGAAATGTTGTACCTAAACTTTTGACTGTTGTTATCGACAAGGAATTTCTCCAGTCTAACCACCACTTCAACATCTCACCGATCCTACACCAAACTACTATCAACAAGCACCTGTTGTTTCACTCCGTCAACTTTTGGCTTTATGTATATTTTTTCTTTCTTTTTCCAAACAAATGGAAAAAAAGCAAGTGACATAGATGAACAGCCTGAGACAGACATGACCTGTGCGAAAAAGATAGATAGATAGATAGACTGACAGACTGATAGATAGATAGATAGATAGATAGATAGATAGATAGATAGATAGATAGATAGATATGATTCTACGGAAACAGAGGAACAGCCTGAGACAGACATGACCTGTGCGAAATAGATAGATAGATAGATAGATAGATAGATAGACTGACAGACTGATAGATAGATAGATAGATAGATAGATATGATTCTACGGAAACAGAGGAACAGCCTGAGACAGACATGACCTGTGCGAAATAGATAGATAGATAGATAGACTGACAGACTGATAGATAGATAGATAGATAGATAGATAGATAGATATGATTCTACGGAAACAGAGGAACAGACTGAGACAGACATGACCTGTGCAAGATAGATAGATAGATAGATAGATAGATAGATAGATGTGATCCTACGAAAATACATAGATGAACAGATCCAGAGACAGACATGACCTGTGCAAAATAGATAATAGATGAATAGATAGACAGACTGATAGATAGATAGATAGATAGATAGATAGATAGATGTGATCCTACGAAAATACATAGATGAACAGATCGAGACAGACATGACCTGTGCAAAATAGATAGATAGATAGATAGATAGATAGATAGATATGTGATCCTACGGAAATACATAGATGAACAGACTGAGACAGACATGACCTGATCAAATAGATGAATAGATAGATCATAGATAGACTGACATTATTGATAGATAGATTTTTTTGATTTTATCAAATGATTCTCGGGAATAGAGGAACAGACTGAGACAGACTACCTATGCGATAGATAGATAGATAGATAGATAGATAGATAGAATGATCCTACGACAATAAATGTATAACAGATAGAGACAGACAAATGACCTGTAAAAATAGATAGATAGATAGATAGATAGATATGATTCTACGGAAACAGATGAACAGACTGAGACAGACATGACCTGATCAGCCGCCAGATCAGGACCACTAATATTGCTGATTCTTTTTTTTGGATTTTATCAAAGATCTCTAAATAGATAGTATGAGCAACGGGCTATATGCGACAGCAACATTGTAAGTATGAACGAATGGTAGACATATAAATGTATAAGATAGATTCTGGAGAGAAAATTATCTAGGGGGACAGAATGATCCAACTTTCTTAGCAGCTGACCTAGCAATTGATTCAATGTCATCATTCCACTTCATGTCAGCCGAGAAGGTTAACCCGGGAAGGCACAATGAGTCATTCTCCTGGAGGTTAGCATCAGCCATGCCTATGAAAGGCTGAAAGGGATCTCTCATATGATTAGATATGAACAGACTGAGATAAATATATAGACACGAACAGATTTAGATAGATAGATAGATAGATAGATAGATATGAAGAGATTCAGATAGGTTAGCATCAGCCACGCTGATGGAAGGCTGAAAGGGGTCTCTCATATGATTAGATAGGAACAGACTGAGATAAATATATAGGCCGGAACAGGTTTAGATAGATAGATAGATAGATAGATAGATAGATAGATAGATAGATAGATAGATAGGTTAGTATCAGCCATGCTGATGGAAGGCAGAAAGGGTTCTCTCAGATGATTAGATAAGAAACAGAGATAAATTCAGACACGAACAGATTTAGATAGATAGATAGATAGATAGATAACACGCCGTGATAGATATATACAAAGACTGAGATAGATAGATAGATAGATAGATATAGATAGATAGATAGATAGATAGATAACACGCCGTGATAGATATATACAAAGACTGAGATAGATAGATAGATAGATAGATAGATAGATATGCACAAGTTTGAGATGGTCTGATATATATCTATATACGTAGACATGGTTAGAATTAAATATAAACAAGCTGATATAGATCAAGAAAGGTGAATTCGATTGATAAATAAAGAAAAATAGACGCGTATGAAAAGACAGTGGCAGAGAGACGCACAGACAAATGCACACAGACATTAAATGATTTTGCCACAAGCAGCGCTAATTGGGTTCGACAGATATAACAAGATAGGCTGAGAGTTATCTCCCGTGCAAACTATGGCAGACGACTCGACTGCCTCGAGCCAGATTTATTTACTTTTTTTTTTAATGTTTTTTTTGTTTTTTTTTAAATACATTTTGCACATTGTTGTCTTTTAAGAAGTAATTCCGCTAATATCATTAACTAGAAACGCCGAAAATACCTAGGAGAAAGATGACAAAACATGGTAAAATCCTAACCACCCAATCATGGGATCATTCTCTTCGACACCACACCCACCGAACTGTACCTTACTTCAACCCGCGCCTTATTAGATCTTGTGCGTTCATCTTTATTGCTTTCTTGCTACCCGATGAAGTTGTCATTCAAAAGCCTCAAGAGGTTCAGGCTTTCGCCCCCATCTTTATCAGTTGTTTTCGCAGAAACATTTTCATTTACGTGATCTTGTGCGGATGAAACTTATGTTATTTTATTAAATCTTGTGTTTTTATTTCTGAGTTGCATATCCAATAATTTATTACCTATATTTCGTTACATTAAGCCCGTGAAAATTATATCTAATCGTAAACTTTACCGAGCCATTTTTAATTATTTCACCCAAGCAAGGCAATAATGTCAGTAAGGTTTTACTGAGTGTTAAAAAAAAAAAAAACCTACTATGAAGAAGAGAGGACGATAAAAAAATAAGAATTAAGAAGACAGAAGATAACGATTGACATTAAAATTTTTGAAGGTCAAAATTGATTGGGAGACAGGAAGCCGGAAGAGATTTCCACAAGCGAGAAGTGCGATAGAAGAAAGTGTTAGCATAGAATTTACGGTTACATCTAACCAATTCAACTGTAAATTGATGAGACCTTGCCACCAATCTCGTAATGCGCTTAAATTCATAAAGTCTGGGTACTATATTGAAGGATTGAGGTTACATATAGAGATTTCAGTTGTATAAAGATGAGACCTTGCCGCCAATCTAGTACTGCGCTTAAATTCATAAAGTCTACATAGCAAAGTTCAACAGAACAATTACCATTAAGATATTTATATAAAAAAAAGGCATAGGGGAGCTACGTACGACGGTGTGATAGATTGAAGCCGAGATGCCAGGTCAGGGCTATTAAAATTGCAGATTCTTCTTTGGATTTTATAAAGAATATCTTGTATATAGCAGGAACACCAAACCAGAAGTGGCAGCAATATTAAAAGCAAAGACGAATGGTAAATTTATAAATATTTAAGATCGATTCTGCCGAGAAATATTGTCTAGCGTAACACAGGGAACCAAGTTCTAGAAGCCAAGATTCCTCTTCATAGAGAATTTCATAGATACTTCTCTCTATATCCTTCTCTCTATGTCTGTCTGTCTGTCTCTCTCTCTCTCTCTATCTATCTATCTATCTATCTGTTTTTCTCACTTTCATCTTGTGTTTTTTTGTTTTATTTTACTATTACTATACTCTGCTTTAAATGATAGTCTATGATTCTCCACAACTTCCCATCTTTTGTAGCTCAAAAATAACGTTAATCTTCTTGCTGCCCTTCCCACTACCAGTTCTACCATTCATTTACACAAGCTCGTTAGGTTGGTCATGGCTCTCCACAACTTCTTATCCTTTGGAGCTCTAAACAATGTTTGTCCCTTTCTATTAGGTTGTCCCAAAAGTTCGTAAACACTTGCGAAAAATTGAATTTTTATGCAACACAATCCAGCACAATCGAGACAAGCAATGGGTTCAAAAAGGGCAAGAGACACCGTCGGTTCCAAAACAAGATCGATTCGGCAAGAAAGTCATGTTGTGCGTTTGGTGGAAATTTGAAGGAATCATGCATTTTGAGTTGGTTCCGAATGGTCGTGCCATCAGTGCCGAACTTTAATGTCAGCAACTGGAGCGGGTCTACGAAAAATTGAATCAAAAGTACCCGGCTCTGATCAACCGAAAGCGCGCTTTGATGCAGCAGGACAATGCCAGCCAGGAAGACCAAAGACAAGTTTGAAGAGCTGGACGGCATTGAGGTTCTGCCACATCCAGCCTACAGTCCTGACTCTGCTCCATCAGATTACGGCCTTTTCCACTCAATGCAACACTTTCTGAAGGGCCGCCGATTCGACTCGTTTGATGAAGTCGAGGAAGCGTGTCAAGAATTCTTTGATTCGAAGCCGGCTGAATGGTACTTTCACCAGATCCGAAAGCTTGCAGATCGATGGAAGAAAGTCTTGGAAAATGATGGTCTTTATTTTGAGGAATAATTTTTGTTGTTTTTGTTATTACTTGGCGAGTAAAATTTCAATTTTTTGAAAAGTGTTTACGAACTTTTGGGACAACCTAATACTCGCTCCCACTCCCAGTTCTACCATTCATTTACGCAAAATCTTTAACTAGGTTGATCATGGCTCTCCACAACTTCCTATCTTTTGTAGCTCTAAACAATGTTTGTCCTTTTCTAATCCCTGTCACTCCAAATTCTGCCATTCATTTACACAAGTTCATTAACTAAGCTGATCATGGCTCTCCACAACTTCCTATCTTTTGTAGCTCAAAAACAATGTTAATCTCGTTGTTATCCTTCCTACTCCCAGTTCTGCAATTCATTTACACAAACTCGTTAGGTAGGTTGGTCATGGCTCTCCACAACTTCTTATCCTTTGTAGCTGCGTTGTTACTCTTCCTACCCCCATTTCTGCTATTCATTTACACAAGCTCATTAGGTAGGTTGATCATGGCTCTCTACAACTTCCTATCATTTGTGGCTCTAAACAATATCTTTTTCTAATCCTTGTTATACTCAGTTCTGCTGTCTACTTACACAATCTCATTAACTAGGTTGGATAGGACTCTCCACAACTTCCTATCGTTTGCTGCTCTAAACAATGTTCATTTCCTTAGTATCTCCAGTCCCCTTTCTGCCATTCATTTATTCAAGGTCGTTATGCAGATTGGTTATGGCCCTCTACAACTTCCTATCCATTGATGATCTAAACAATGTTCATCTCCTTACTACTCACAGTCCCGCTTCTGCCATTCATTTACTCAAGTTCGTTATGTAGGTTGATCATGGCCCTCCACAACTTCCTATCCTTTGTTAGGTAGATTATTCGATCCTACCCTCCGCACTTATTACCGTCGGTATATTCTGTGGGTCAAGCTGTACAACGCCTTATTAGGCTTCTTTGAAATTTCAACAGTCTCTGATTCTTAATACAAGTGTCCTTTTTCTTTTCATTTTCCTTAAATCTTCCCCTGCTACCCCATGTTCGGCTCATGGTATTCTCTGTCTCCCTCTCTTACCTCAGGTGTCTTTTTCGTCTGTGAGGAGATTGTTCAGTATTCATTTTTTTCTTTATAGAAGGAAGGATCATATAGCAGTTCAGCACTTTACTTTGAAAATATCCTGTTTCTTAATTTTTCTTTATAGAAGGAAGGATCATATAGCAGTTCAGCACTTTACTTTGAAAATACCCTGTTTCTTAATTCTTTTTTCACACTTGAAAGACATTCATTTAGATCTTGTATGTCCACGAAAGGCAGCAAAAAGCAATCTGGTGATCTTTTCACCCTATGATATTGTTTCCAAATATATCAAGAATATTATGAATTTCCCATTCTTCTTCTTCTTCTTCTCCTTCTTCTTCTTCTTTCTTCTTCTCCTTCTTCTTCTTCTTCTTCTTCTTCTTCTTCTTCTAATACCGTGTGGATAAATGAAAACTAGGCAGCTCTTCTACAAATTCTTCAAATTCTTCTTCTTCAAATTCTTCAAATTCTTCCTCAAATTCTTCTTCCTCAAATTCTTCTTCTTCAAATTCTTCTTCTTCAAATTTTTCTTCAAATTCTTCTTCTTCAAATTCTTTTTCTTCAAATTCTTATTCTTCCTCCTCAAATTCTTCTTCTTCAAATTCTTCTTCCTCAAATTCTTCAAATTCTTCCTCAAATTCTTCTTCTTCAAAATTTTTTTCTTGAAATTCTTATTCTTCTTCTTCAAATTCTTTCTTAAATTCTTCTTCTTCAAATTCTTCTTCTTCAAATTTTCTTCAAATTCTTCTTCTTCAAATTCTTTTTCTTCAAATTCTTCTTTTTCAAATTCTTCTTCTCCTTCAAATTCTTCTTCTTCAAAATCTTTTTCTTCAAATTCTTCTTCTTCTTCTTCAAATTCTTTCTTAAATTCTTCTTCTTCAAATTTTTCTTCAAATTCTTTTTCTTCAAATTCTTCTTTTTCAAATTGTTCTTCTCCTTCAAATTCTTCTTCTTCTTTAAATTCTTCTTCTTCAAATTCTTATTCTTCAAATTCTTATTCTTCTACTTCAAATTCTTTCTTGAATTCTTCTTTTTCAAATTCTTCTTCAAATTTTTCTTCAAATTCTTTTTTTTCAAATTCTTCTTTTTCAAATTCTTCTTCTCCTTCAAATTCTTCTTCTTCCTCAAATTCTTCTTCTTCAAATTCATCCTCAAATTCTTCTTCCTCAAATTCTTCTTCTTCAAATTCTTCTTCTTCTAATTCTTTTTCTTCAAAATCTTATTCTTCTTCTTCAAATTCTTTTTCTTCAAATTCTTATTCTTCTTCTTCAAATTCTTTCTTAAATTCTTCTTCTTCAAATTCTTCTTCAAATTTTTCTTCAAATTCTTCTTCTTCAAATTCTTTTTCTTCAAATTCTTCTTTTTCAAATTCTTCTTCTCCTTCAAATTCTTCTTCTTCCTCAAATTCTTCTTCTTCAAATTCATCAAATTCTTCCTCAAATTCTTCTTCCTCAAATTCTTCTTCTTCAAATTCTTCTTCTTCAAATTCTTTTTCTTCAAATTCTTTTTCTTCAAATTCTTCTTCTCCCTCAAATTCTTCTTCCTCAAATTCTTCTTCCTCAAATTCTTCTTCTTCAAATTCTTCTTCTTCAAATTCTTTTTCTTGAAATTCTTATTCTTCTTCTTCAAATTCTCCTTCTTCAAATTCTTCTTCTTCAAATTTTTCTTCAAATTCTTCTTCTTCAAATTCTTCTTCTTCAAATTCTTCTTCTTCAAATTCTTCTTCTTCTTCAAATTCTTCTTCTTCAAATTCTTTCTTAAATTCTTCTTCTTCAAATTCTTTTTCTCCTTCAAATTCTTCTTCTTCTTCAAATTCTTCTTATTCAAATTCTTCATCTTCTTCAAATTCTTCAAATTAAAATACTTCAAATTCAAATTCTTCAAATTATTCTTCTGCTACAAAAATTCTACTTCAAATTCTTCTTCCTCAAATTCTTCAATAAGTTCTTCAAATTCTTCAAATCCTTCCAATTCTTCTTCCAATTCTCCTTCTTCAAATTCTTCTTCTTCCTCCTCCTCAAATTCTTCTTGAAATTCTTCTTGAAATTCATCTATGCGCTGCAGGCGATCGTGGCCCT